TGCTTGATATACAGATATCTTATCGCTACCTACAAGCTGGATTTCTACCCACTTTTTGCAGGCAGCTACTGTAGCAATCTGTTAATGGCAGATAGTCTAAAGGGCCAGTCACGGACACAGCCCATGTAGCTCGACGAGCCACACAGGCTGGCTCTAGCTCGGACCGATACTTAAATTTCGTTGGTCCCATTGAGCTGCAAACCAAGCTAGCTCGAGCTTTGTTCAAGTTGAGCTAGGGCTATCGAGTCGACAAGTCAAATTGAAATCCCTAATTGGAGAAGAAAACTAATTATTAGAGAAAATGTGCAACTCTCTTCAGAAAAAGTTGGGGAGATCTGAGAAAGAAAAGAAAAAATATGAAGAAATGAGCAGAGGCGCTGAGGCCTGGAGGCTTCCTCAGTGGCTGAAGTTAAGAACTTAGAAGTGTTTGCAAAGATTTTGGAATTGGCAAAGAAACACCATTCAGTTTACATTGCCAAAATTGACAACGAGATCTTGTGCCTCAGAGAAGAAATTCAAATAGTCAAGGCAGATCAATATGCTCTCTTTCATGGCCTTGATAAGCAAGGATTGTGAAGGCCTTGCTTTTCATTCAGGAAGAAAGTGCGGGGACAAAGTTGACTTTTAAAAAATCTAGCTTTGATAAGTTTTTTTCGCTCATAGTTCTAATGCCATTTGAACATGTTATTTTATTTGTCTCTGGGGGATTTATAATGTTTTAATGTGTTCGTTCGCATTGTTTTATAGGTTAGGTGACTTGGTGAAAACTGTAAGTTTTGGAACTTGAATGATGTGATAAAGTGAATTGGAATGAAAGAGGCCAATTGAATGAAGAAAGATGGGTCAAGGCATCAAAATTGGCGCCCAAGCATCACTACAGAATTGAAAAATAATTGCACAATAGAAGTGCCATAGAGCCAGTGAAGTGGCTTCCTACCGCCGCTTCTCTGTGGAAATTACATGATATTGGTGCCCCAGCGCCATGATTGTGGAGCCTAGACACCGCCTAAAGAGATGAATTTTAGCTTCCCAGGCCCTTTCTAAAAGTCCAATCCAACTCTAACTCTTTGAAGAACAAAAAGATGATATAACTACAAACCTAGGAAAGACTTCAAAGATAGAATTTGATTAGGCAAGGACGGGGGATCAAGCTAGAAAGCAAAATCAACATCACGAAGAAGATCTAATCACTACCATAAATCAGTTTCTCTAGTCTTTTATATACTTTTTATTATCAATTTGATATGTCTCTTTCATCCATCATGAACTAAATTTCTTATATCGGGTTTGATGTAATCCAACTTGATATCATGTTTTGATATTTAATAGTTTCCTTTTTTTTTTTTTTTTAGATTTTCCAATTAGTTTATTCGTAGTGTTTGAGTTGAATGCTTTCAGTTAACTAGCAATTGATTGAATGATTTGATTGTTTAAGTTTTGGCTCTCGAGAGATGGAACCTTAGTTGAGATCTTAGAATAACACAACCTAGGTTTCATATGTTTCAAGGGAAAGTATGAATCCTTTGAAGTAGTTCCACATAAGAACCATAAAACCATAAACTTGAAAATTCTTGGACTTTTAATTCTAGATAGAGATACTAGAATTGAATTTTAGGAATAACTTTTACCTGGCACTCGAGAGATGGAGTAAAATTACATTGGGTACTTGCTGCTATACCTGGAAAATTAATTAAAGATAACCATATAATTGAAAAACATAGTTGATAGTTAGATGAAATCATAATCCCACACTTTTTTAATATTGATTAATCATTAAAATTTGCATAAAATTTTTGAATTCGTCAAAACATTCCAGTGTATTTAGATATAAAAAATAAAAAAATAAAAAAGACTTTGATTATAAATTCAATTGTCTAAATAGAACAAAGGCCATTCAATTATAGTACTTTTTAAGAATTTGATTTTCAATCCTCATATGTTCAACATCCTAACTTAACCATTATGTCATAAAATTTGACACCGTGCGCTTGCGTAACAAGTTTTTGGGGCCATTGCCAATGATTGGTGTTTTTTTTTTTTTTTTTTTTTAATTAATCACTAGTTTGCCTTGATTTTAATCTAGACTTCTTTACTTTTAGTAGTTCGCTTATTTTATTTCAGCTATTTATATGAAGATCAAGGAGTTCTGAACTACTGCCTGATGATCCTAGGTTTGAAAGAACTTTTCAGTTTTTAAGGAGTATAAGAAGAAACAAACTTGAAGCAACTATAGCAAACAAAACAATAAGCAGTGAGCTATTCAAGACAATGTCTAACCCGTTGCCAACGACTATTACTTTGGTATTACGCGCTAAACTATTGTGGTAAACAAATTTGAAATAAAGCCCGCATTTATTAGTATGGTGATGCAGAATTAGTTCGGATGATTTCCATTAGAAGATCCAAATCTTCAACTTACTACTTTTTTTGAGATCTGTGATACTATAATGATGAATGGTACTATTGAAGATACCATCAGACTATGTTTATTCCATTTCTCCTTGAGGGCTAAAGCAAAGAGATGGCTTCAATCATTTCATTAAGGATCTATCACCGCTTGGGTAGGATTGGCTCAAAAATTCTGCATCAAAATCTTTCCCCCTTAGAAGTCAGCTCAATTGCAAAGTGATATAGTGCAATTTCAGACAAACTGGCTTTGAACAATTATATGAGGCTTGGGATAGATTTAAAGAGTAAATTTGAAGATGTTTTTGGTATGGTCATCAGATTGGTTGCAGAATAAGATATTCTACAACGGGTTGAATGGTCACACTGATAATAATTGATGCTGCTTCGGGTGCTACCTTACTGTCAAACACTGCAAAAGATACGTATTCATTATTGGATGAAATAGCCACCAACAATCATCAATGGCCAAGTGATCATTCAAGTGTAAAGAAAGTTGCTGGTCTTTATGAGTTAGATCCCGCTGCAACTTTTATAGCTCAAATGTGGACGCTTACTAGCCAAATAGTTGCATTGACTATATAGGGAACTCAACCAAGACAAGGTGTGGCTATAACTGCTTCTACACCAAACTAGGAGATTGATATGGAGAATGAGCAAGTCCAGTATGTAAATGGTCAAAATTTTAAACAAAGAGGAAATAACTTATCAAACTGCTACTATCCAGGTTATGAAAACTATGAGAATCTATCTTAAGGTAAAGCTAGAAATATGCTGCAATCTTTTCCTGCGTTCAGTAATTAGGCTTTAAAAGGAAAGCCATCACCGGAGGATATTTCAGAGAATTGGGTAGTTAGGCTTTTGAAGGGAAGCCATCACTGAGGATATTTTAGAGAATATGGTGAATTTCAACAAGGATGAATCAAGTGTAAACAACATCGAAACTCATATGACCAACATGGTGGGGCCACAATAAAAAATGTTGTTGTACAGATTAGTCAGCTAGCTACTGCAACAAATTCTCAAATTAGAGAAAAATTTCGTAGTGACACAGAGGTAAACGTAATGGAACATTGCACTGCTATCACCCTGAAAAGTGGTAATGAAATTGGAGCAAGCAAGTCTAAAGAGACTGTAGTGTCTACACCGTATTCCAAACATGAAGCAAATTAATTGCAAAACGGGAAATCCAAGCAGGAAACCCAAAGAAGGTTCTTAAGCCTAATTCACTCTCATTCGCAGACAATCCACCAATTATGAAACAACGGTGCCATATCCATAGAGATTCTTAAACAAAAAGTTTGACGTATAGTTTTCAAAATTTCTAGAGATCTTCAAAAAAATTCATATCAACATATCATTTGCTGATGCTTTGGCAGAAGAAGTTATGCCAATTTCTTGAAAAAAGTGATGTCAAAGAAAAGAAGTTAGGGAAGCACGAGGCAGTGCAGTTTATCGAGGAATGTAATGCAATTTTCTAAAAGAAACTTCATCCTAAGTCAAAAGATCCAGGTAACTTGACAATTTTTTGCGCAATTGGTAGGTTTTCTTTTGATAAAGCACTATGTGATGTTGGGACTAGCATAAATTTGACACCTATTTTCGTATACAAGAAGTTGGGCCTTGGAGAAGTGAAATCGACTACCATCACTATAAAACTTTGTAATAAATATTCTCTGGCAATTATTTCTTAATTACAAAAAAATATATATATATATTCAATGATAATGTTTACATAAATTTTATAATATTTACAATTATTTACTAATTAAAACAATAATTTAATAAACAATATTTACGGATCGCAATTAAATTCATATAAATCTCATGCTAACTTATTCCTTCAAATTTGTATTCATGATTGGTTGATTCCATCAACCTTATGTGTTATATTAAAAATTCATTATACTTTATGACAAACATGCTGCAAAATATTGTGTTAGTTTAGTATCGTGTAACTAAAAACTAAGTTTTAAAGTTAAAAAAAAAAATTATAAACACTTACAATATTGATTGTCTCGCCATCGTCGTACCCTGCACGATGGCTAATTAGTCATGCACAGTCACGCCGCTCATCTAGCCAACAAAGGAACGTCGCAGCTACTAGCTTCAGATTTTGTTCGAGCTGACCCTATGTAAAACATGAATGATCAGGGTCGTACACATATATAGTTGAGTCAACTAAGACTATCTCCACGGCAATGCAGTGATGATTCGCGATCACTAGAATGTACATATGCAGGCAACCCTCCCATGACTTTCTTTTAATATTCGATGACATCCCTATGACTATTTAACTTTCATTATCAGTGAGCCAATCTCCCGAAGTGATGATGTCATGGAACCACTTGTAAGCGTCTAGGATCGTCATTTGAGTTATTGTACGGCTAGTTCTGAAAAAAGAGACAGAGAAAATGTTAAAAGAAGCATATATGCGTTATTGTAGCGTACTTTACTAAAATCATACAATAAATATTTACCCAAGCAAAATTTTTCTCCACTTCATCTCTAACGCTTTCCACTTGGCATGCACAGTATCTCGAAATAGAATGGTATACGTCCCATTGACAAACCTTCTCCTCTTCGCCTCAACCATGATGGAGGAAATGACATATTATTATGGCAAATTCGACCTCTTGCCAACTGTCTACTTTGGTATGTTAACAGCACTCTTTTTACCATCAATCACGTTGGGCTTCCTATCCTCTTTCACCCCAAGGACTGCAACTTCTCTAGGCTCGCCACCTCCTCTTCCTCGGAGACCATCATATCCTCGAGGCTCACTACATCCTCCACCTTGGGGACCATCACCTCTTCTAGGCTCGCCACCTCCTTCAAACGATAGCTCAAATATGGTAAAGTGGAAAATAAGGGGTTTTTACAGGATCAATTTTAAAAGTACCCCAAATAAGAATAACTTTATTCAGCCACACTGTAACTTATAAAAAAAAGTCATATCAATTGACTTCTGAAGTGCATGCATACAAATTTGTGTTCTTATAAAGTTAAACTACTGAAGGAAATTTTATTAATTCTATTTCAGGTTAGTGTATGCAATTAATATGCCAATTTTAACTTATTTCACAATTAATGTGATTTTATATTTATTTAATATAAGACTTAGACCTTTTAGGTAGTTGAAGCGTCCAAATAATGGAACCTTGACGGAATTGCTATAGCAATAAGAATGACACCAGCACCATTTCAATTATCCTAGGCATAAAATCATAATAGGATATCATATTTCCCTATCTCTGGTGGGATAATTAAGGGGCAATGGGATGTTGCTAAAAGTTGATAAAAGTTGGTGGATCCCATGAAATTTGTAATGAAAAAGTGTGTGAAAGTTGTGGGTAAGTTTGGTTAGAAATGAAGTTGACCAGTTTTTAAACAAAAATAAGTCTACCAAACAAGCAATAAATTAAACAATGTGTTGAGAAATAACATCCCGAGTTTCTCATTTCTCGTATTGTTATTTGTGCATATAAATATACAAGTGACACTCTAAAGAAATACATTCCTGAAAAACATAGTATACTCTGAGCCATACGGACAGAGATTATAGGGAAACTTGGATAAAAAGACTATAAACAGACACGCTTTAATTAACATAGTACATTCACAGCCCTATGAATAATGTAATAAAGAAATTTATATAAACTAGAATTACAAGATCAAGTAGTATCATATTTCCTATCATGTCCTTGCAGGATTGAGGTTCCATCATGAACATCATTAATCTTGTATTCCTGTCCAAGGCTCGGAAAGATAACGGTTTGACTAGGGAGTTGACACCTTGATCAGCGATGTGAAAGTGGTATACTCTTAGTCAATGTCAAAGTAAAAGGTGACAGGCAAATGGAATTTATACGAGAATGTAAGACTGGATTAAGGTAATCGATTTTAATGCTTGTTTGGTAAATTTTTGTTTGCTGAGAATACTAGTCAATTTGTTTCTAGCCGCATATCATGAGACTTGCAAAGTTTATGAGCTTGTAGCAACATCAAATGGCCCCTTAATTATCCCCACCTGAGAAATGGAAAGATATTATCATATTATGATTCATGTAATAATATTTAGCACCACTGGAGAAACTGTAAGTATTATGCCCTAGGTCCAATCAAGTTTGGACATAAATACTTTTATATATAATTAATACAATTAAGTGGTAGATCTATTATTGAATTAATAGACAATTAAATAAATAATAGAGTCCGTAGATTCAAATATTTGTAATTTGTTAATCACAAGGAGTTGTGATTGTGAGATACAAATTACATCTGATTGAATCTTAAATCATCCGTCGTCGTAAGTAATAACGAGATACGGATATCGTTATTACGGATAGACCATCACGTGTGGCATTTCTTACTTGTGAAGTAAGTAGTTGATCTCACAAGCTAAAGTGTGGTGACACTTAAATGAACACGTGGATGTTTTTGTTATAGAATAAAACATTGGAGACCCGTCGAGAGATTCCACATGGATAACTATCTGAGTGTCAGTGGTTAATCTCTAACGTTCGGTCGTGGAATTGGTCCTTTGACTTGAGGTCGTTATAGTACCTTATATGAGGACAGTCATACTTTGGCGGTGTTGGATGTTGCTCTGAAAAGGGCCGCTAATACGATATCGTTCGGGTATGTCAAGAATCGTATGAAGGTTGTGATTGATCAATAAAGGATTCGTCGCTCTTAGATAGTAGGAGATTATGATCTGCGTTTCATTCAATTAAGTCGATGATGAAATCCTTGGCCAAGGTGTACTCATAAGTCGAAAAGGAGTTTTCGACTTATATTGACTTAATAGTGGAGTGAAAGATATGATCGATGATCGAGATTGACACAACTCCATATCTCGTAATTGATCGGATCATATTGACGAAGGGATTATAGTTTCACGGTAAACGAACGAATTTGGTTTTGTCATACCACGTGACATTTCCCGTCACATGTATTGCCCTGACACATTGCTAGATGTCAATCAGGGACGGCGAATGTGAATTGACGATAAATTAAAAGGGTGTTTTAATTTATCAATTTTGATTAGATCAAAATAATATTTCACGACATTAGGCATCGT